TTAACATGGGTATTACCCCCAAAATCCACCCGCCCCAGCAGTTCCGCTGGCCTCTCCCTCCTGGCCCCACCAGGCATTAGGGATCTGGTAAACGTGAGGAGTCCTAGGTTTTTCATTATACTCTTTCCCTTTGCTCCCTTCATTTTTTGCATCCTTTGCAGCGAGACACACTTAGCGTGGTTGTGACATTTAGGTGGCAGCTCATTGTGTGGAACACTTAAAGTTTAAAAAACAAGCCCCATAGAAGTTGAGGGGCTTAAAGCAGCCCCCTTTGTAGGGCAAGACATTGAGTTTTGATTTTGGACAATGGTGTTTCTCAAATTTCTTCCAAAAACCTGCATCCCATCTGTGATCTCAATGCAATCTCTTTTCTCTCTGCCTTCAATTCATTTGGCAAAGAAGAAGCAGATGCATGGGACGGGGCTTGAATTTTAATTATTGGGTTTTACCTGAAACAAAACAGCAAATCCTATTTACCATGTGTTTGAAGTTAGGATAGGGTAGGAGAATATAAAATATAATTAAAAAGCTCTCGGAACTTTAGGAGCCGACAACAGCCCTTTTAATGAACCTCTCCGAGTGCCATATAGTAAATTAGTAATGCAGCGCTTCCCTGAGTCTCTGTAAGTCTTGCTCCTCTCTACCTGTATGTATGTGTGTGTGTCTCCAAAGTGCAGGCCACGGTGATCAGACACCCCCCACCCCCGACCCCTGTTCTTCGGAAGGTTGTAGCTCATTGCGGGGGATGCGTCAGAGGTTTTACCATGACTTGCAAAGCCAAGTGAAGTTTAAACAGCCTCGCATGTTGCTGCCCTCCCACCACCACCTGGAAGGTGCCACTAGGGTGCTATTTAGCAGCGTGCCCTAGGGAAGCAGCCTCAGCCCCCAGATAGCTGCGAACCCATGAGCTCACTTCCACCCTAGGAAAAACCCCACTGTTCCCCCGCAAACAGCCAGTCTCCAGCCTTTGCTGGAATACTTTGTACCCGACCTGTTGCTTCTGCTCCACCTTCAGCACAAATCGCTGTGTAGTGCTACACACACACACACACAGTGTGCCCACCGATCCCCCCTCCCCCACCGCCCTATTCACATTACCTCCAAGTGCATTTAACCAGCAATAAGGTGCGAAGGGAAAATTGTCTGTCACTTTAATCCATGCCCGAGGGGCTGGGGAATAAAAAAGAGCGCGCGAGAGAGAAAGACAGCGAGGGAAGGAATGGGTTTAAAGAGCTTAAAATCCATGCAATGGCTGTGGGAATGCTGGGGCCGGGTCCTCCGACCTGCTGCTTCCCTGGCGAGCCCGCAGTTAGCTGCCCGTAAGGGCGCTATTCTCTGGAGCGCGCAGGGAGGGAGCTTTGCTTTCCAAGGTGAGCCTGTGTGTTTCAGGAGACGCTCTGGTTGCCCACCTTTGTTCTAAGAGGCAGCCAGGGCCCCGGGACCCGCAGTTGCTGAAGGGGGGGGGGCACCTCACTGGGTCCCACCCAAACGCGTGGCAGGTAGGCAGCGGTTGTGTGATCCCACGAGAGACAGGAGCCAGGCGTCACTGACTCACGGCGGGCTGGGCGCTTTCCTTTGCCAATCTGCCAGGCCTGCATGTACCCCCCCACACCGCCACCCCCTTCGCTGGTAAGCCTGTGCGCCCAGCCCTGCCGAGGGAAAAGGCATTTCACCTCGGAGCCGCATGCAAACACTTGTGTGAATTTCCTTTAACCTGCCTCTTTCGGGGGAGGGTGGAGCTGTTCTTCACAAGTTCAGCAACATTGCCCTGTCCCCGGGGGAGGGGCGACTCAAAGCTCTCCAGTTATCTGGCAAAACCCAGCGTCCAGGACAATGGGCCTTGTGTGCCCCAGGAGGTTGGGGTTTGGGGGTCCCAGTGTGGTTCGTTCGGGGCGTTCCTCGGTGTCTCTGTGTAAGGGGGCGCCTTCCCTCTTCCCCCTTGTTAAAATGATTAAGATTTCTTTCCCCTCCCTTGGGTAATCCCAGACAGTGTTTTAGCCAAACCAGGGAGCCACTGGTCAACATCAAAGGCCCACTTTTCTGTGGATGGGCACAAGCGCTTGGAGGAAAAGAAATTTTAGAGTAACAACTAAAGGCTTTCTTGTGCAGTTATTTTAAGGGCTTTGTTCAGTGCCTGAGGGGGGATGCTTCCATTTGTTCGGGAGGGGATTCATCACATGCCCCTTTCATGTGAACCAGAGGTTAACAACCTAATGAGCACTTGGTGAAGAGATGAAGCGTGTAAAGAGCCCGTTTTTTTCCCAAATCCTGCGCTGCTGTCCTGGGGATGTGCTACTCTAACCTCTGCGGGGCTAACAGTCTCAGCACTTCCAGCGGGGAGCCCCTGGAAGGCAATCCGGGGTCCAGCAGCGCTCAGGCGGGGCAAAAGCAGCTAGACAGTCCGCTTCCAATACCCCACCAGGGAGCCGAGGGGGCAGAGCCGCGGTGCTACATATGTTGGGTCAAGTCTCCCCATTGTGAGCGTGTAAAAAGGTGTAAAAACTCAATCATCTGTAGCTCTTTAAAGGGAGGGCTTACTCGGGATTTGTTGCATAATGGATTGTTAAAAAAGTAGACGGTTGAATTAAAACTGTTCCCTAGTCACTTTTAATTAGACCACTCTATTTAATTAGCAAAGTTGAAACATGCAATTAAAATTAGCTCAGTTTAGCACATATTTGAAGGGAACGGGGACGCGTCTCCGGTTCCTGCGAAAGCGAGTCGAAGAAGGAATGGCGGAGACGTTTGAGTCTATAAGTGAAATGACTGGTTGGAGGTAAAAAGAAAAGGAGGACTTGTGGCACCTTAGAGAATAACCAATTTATTTGAGCATGAGCTTTCGTGAGCTACAGCTCACTTGCACCAAGAGACCATCTGCTAAAAAACGCGCCTTCCCCCAGTTAATTATGAATCGGCTCCTAATGTCTCTATAACGACCGTCCTCTGGATGATGCAGTTGGACAGGGCGAGACTTTTCTTTTTAAGTTTGAAATAGCGATCTGCATCCTAACGCACCCAGCCTGGGTTGGGCCGACTGCTGTTGCTGAGTTCAGCTCTCACCCTCACATTAATGCCCAGGACTGCACTAAATTCGTCAGCTCACGTCGCCTTTACGCTATAGCTAAGCACCAGGAATTGTTACTAAAGGATACAAAATACCGAAAACTCGGTGGGACTAGGTGCAATAAGGAAACCATCCACTGATGTTCACAATCATTATTTTTCTACACTTCAGCCACACTTTTTCACTGGAGAGCAGAGTAAGCGACTTAGTGATGTTTCAAAAATGTTGAAGCCCCAACTAACGGAATCTCTCTTTCGCCATTCAATGAGCTGACGAGGTTGCGTTTCCTGGGGGGAGGGAGGGGTAGCAATGTACATTTTTTTTTGTGGGGGAGGGTAATTTTCATTCTTGCAATATTGGTTTGGGGATAATTACTTTTAATGTCAAAAAGATTTAGTTTAATATCATCTCTATTAGGCTGCTGGGCGGATAATTAAAGTGAAGATGATAGCAGCAGGGAAACAGATGGCATTTGCTTACTTTGATTCAGTAGGTAAATAATGAAAAAGTCAATGGCAAACCCCCTAGAACAATTGAAACCTTAAAGAGCACTAACATTAGCAGGTACTTACAAACTGTCGACTGCTAAGAACGAGATGAAAATACACTAATCAAGAACTATATTTCTCTGGAATGCTTCCGGAAGCTCCTGCGCTCACTCTCTCTCCTACCAACCAATGGAAGGTCTCTTTTTAATTAAGATTTTATTAACTGTAATTGGGAATTGCTGCCTGACCGTTGTATGCAGTTATCTCCAATTTTTGCAGCGTAGCAATAAGAAAGATAAAGAATGCTTTTTAAATAAACAATCTGCAATAGCGGTGATGTGGAAAATAGGCATTTATAAATACTAGGTCTTTTTTTCTTAAAGTTGTGTCTCAAAGTTTTATCTAACTAAACCAGATGCGGGCCATTTAATCACGTCCGTTAACTTCACGTGTTTTTTGAGGCTCCCAAATTCAAATACAATAACCGTAATAATTAGTAATGGCGCTTCGTATGTAAAGCAAATAACGAACTAGTCCTCTCTCTTTTGACTTTTAACGAAGTAAAATTCTTTTCTACGCGTCTCTTCGGCAAATACTAAATCTAAATTATGAAACAAAGCTGAGCTCCAGCATTTTAACAACCTAATTTGTGTGATGTACTACGTCCCCTCCGTCGGGAACGGATTTGTTAATAGCTAACACAAGCCAGTCATGCCAGGGGCCCGATCCTGCAGTCCTGCCTCGGCCTTCAGATGAGTAGTTTGTTCCCGGGTCAGAGGCTGATGAAAAGGGTAAGTAAAACTCCCCAGAAGTTTCTCTTTCTAAAGTGACACGATAGGGCGACATGAAATGAAAAGTTACCGGGCGCTTAACACAAGCCAGCATGCCTGCTTTGGGCAGCTGAAAGGACATTAAAGCCAGTGAGAACCCAAACTTCGCAGCTAAAGGACCATTATACTCTGAAACGTCCCAAGAGCAGCAATTCGGCCCAAACCTTGTACCAAGGGCCGTAGGCGATCAGGAAAAACCAATAGCCACAGGACAAGTCTCCCCCGCCAACCCTCACTCCAGTGCCTGGTGGTGACAACACCCTTACCTACGCTTGGGTGTCTGCATTTCAAATTAGCCAAGGTGAAATACACACCAGGCCCTTTGCCTGCTCTTCCAGGGGTCCGGGCAGCTCGGCACAAAAGGAAATTCAGCTCCCAGTAAAACAAAAACACAAGCCCTCCTCGTGGCTTAAAGGGGGTGGAAAGAGCTGCCAAGCCAGAGCGTGAGCGAAAGTTGTATTTTATTAGGTTTGTAAGTCTGGATTCCCCATTCCCCACCCCCACCACCTCGCGGTTCGGCCCACTCCTCATTACACTGAAAAGCGATCGAAAGATTGATACTCTTCTGGCTCGAAAACAATCAAACCACACACACCAAGAAAGACACAAGCCCAGAGATTGAGATGGCGATTTTATTGTGGTTGGTCAAGTACAAAACAGACACTGTGAAAAATAAACAGCGCACCACAGTCCTCCCTTCACACGTATTGCTAGGTCATCCCTATGGCCAGTCTGTAGAAAACCCTTCATCGCGGTGCCTCCGTAGCTCAATGGCAAACTGTGAAAGTGAGGCGTTAACGCTGCTTAGAGGGTATGCAGCATGGATCTAATTTGCAGCCAGTTTTATTTTGCTTGAATAACACCTTTGAAATGGCTCCAGGATCAGGCGGGGGGGGGGGTGAGCATACGTTTCAGGACAGAGACACCCCCCGAAAAAGCAGGGTGGAAGTAAATGATTATTTAGTTAAAATCTCCGGTGAAAAGGGAGGCTGGGGTCCCTGGCTTTTTCCTCAAGGAACCAAACTCGAAAGAGTGAAAAGAGAGAGGAGCCGTTTGGCTTAACCTTTAATGACTGCTGAGATTCGGCTTTAGAGCAGAAAATGTTTCCTGTCCAGCAAGGGCGCTTTCTTGCTAGGATGAATCTGAAACGAGTTCTGTGTAGACGTAAACGGTAGAACGTACAATTAATCTTCACCTGTACACCCTGTTTCTATGTGTATCTGTGTATACACATGTGCATGCGTTTGCAATGGGAGTGGGTGGGGGGAGCCAATAGATGGAAACCTAGGTAAAAACAAGCAATATATCTCGCTAGCTTTTAACAATTGCTATTGTTACCAACCACGTGCTGCTGCTTAGGGCCTCTTTACACCCTCTGTTAATAAACATTTTTCAATAAATAGCAAATACAGAAATATTGGATCGACACTGAAGCTAGTCCAAAAGCTAAACGGATGGAAGTATGAAGGGAAATACAGAATTTTTAATTGGGATACAAATTATATATAAAATGTGTGTAAGAACATACGTCTATATTATATTGTGTATATATAATATAATCATTTTGTCTATATATATCCACACACATGATGAAATATATAATAGAGCTATATAGAGAGACATCTAGGTAGGTAGGTAGATATATATAAACGCGTATATAGCCAATAAATTTTAAAATGCTATTCCTGCTCTTGTAATCTCAGCAGAGGGATGACAATTTGATACATTCCCGTAAAAAAAAAAAATTGAAATCCCAGTAGCTGGTTTGTGAGTGGCTAATTTTGCCATAATCATCTCCAAACTATTTATATAATACATGAGGTCATTAAAAAAACTACCTTAAATGCAAAGGATGATCTAGCCCTCTCATTTAAATTTAAGTTGAAAAGGAAGAGCGAGGAGGACATAAACATAAGCTGTTCTCTGTGTTTGTTAGTGATCACAGAATGCCGGGGAGTGGGGTTGCAGATAAATGACAAAACCAAACAAGTAATGAAATAGCTTTGCAAGGAAAAAAGGGACACATGTTTAGCGCAATAAGCCTAGATAAAACACAATAAAAAAAAGTTTCTCATTCAGTCTGATCCAAGTAAACGAATTCCCAGCTAAACCCGGAGCTCTGATACAGTCTCCCTGGAGAATAAAATGAGTGGTTGCAGATAAAATTAAAGCAGCTATTTTGACTTCTTGGCTGCATTAAATAAAGGTGTTATGACACCTAGCTACGAGAAGCGGGTGGCAGCTTTCAACACCAGTCTCAGTAGTCCGAAGGGAAAGATTATACTTTATTTTTAAAGTAAGAAGACCGATGCAAATATCAGACAAATATCAGTGTGTCTGCGAGATGCGATGCCTTGCAATTGTATTTTTCAGCAAAAAGCTACTTCACACGGAAGAACGATTACAAAGGAAGCAAAAGGCAAGGGCATTATCCGCAGCTATTCTGCAGTTAAGCGCTCGCAAAAACACCCCAGATCATCATCTATATCCGCTTATATTGTCAAGTTTGAATTTTAATTCCCCACAAGGAAGGTGGGGGGCGGTTAAAAAAATTAAAGCGAACGAAATTATTTTAGTTCTTCCCAGACTCGGCTGGGAACCCCAAAGGGTTTTAACCAATCTGTTCAGCACACACGCACCTCAGTCTACAACTTGCTTCCCTAGCATAGAAAATGCTAACTCCATACGGAGGAACCATGTCATTGCACTCGCTTAACTTAGCCCCCACGAACACTGCCCACCCTTTCTTTCGCTGAGCGGTATAAGCAAGGCTTTGAGAGGTGATACGTTCCATTCTAACAAAGCCAAGTGCTCCAGCTCGTTATCGACTCTCTCTAAACGGTTGCTTGTATTTTCATTCATTATCGTTATCAAGGGGCAACAAATTAAGGCAACAGAAAAGCACAAGAAATTAACAAAATAATAACGATTATTAATCATCGCAGATCCTTCGTGTGGAACACAGAGATGGGAACTTTAGCCAAAATATTCCTTCCCGAAAAGGAGAGTTGCGTTAACTTCACAAGTTCCAAGATCCCAAACCTGCTACTCCCTCTCAGCGCAAACTGATTACCACGGAGGATGACGTCGAGCCAGGGTGGTTAATGTTAAAACAAAAACTGGACACAGCTACCAGCACGACAGCCCCGTTGCTCAAGGATGTATAAACCCTGTTTGAACTGTCCTGTGGAAACTCAAGACGGTGCCTGTTGAATTTGTTATTAAACAAATAGCTAGTCATTAAAACCAGGAGAGAAACAACGAACTTTTTTTTTGGGGGGGGGGGGGGTGACCGGATTCATTTCTCCGTATTTTTTAAATTAAATAAAAATCGAAAATCATACTCACCTCTCACGGATTGCGGCTGTACTGGTAAAATGCACCTGCAGTTGCAAAGTGAGTTAAAAACAAATGTTAGGTCCTACTATACAACAAAATCGCCGCGGGGAGAGGGGGCACCTTAAATTGAATTGTCACTTTGCATGATATATTGCACCCCCCCCACACACACCTTTGACAAGTGACACCGTGGAAAATCTGAAGTGCAAACCACACAAACAATTGGTCAGGCAAACTACTGTTTTAAGTGGATTTAAAAACTATCAGGCAGTGAGAAATCAGACAAATTTCACACACACACACACACACACACACACACACACACACACACACACACACACACAAATGGAAACTATTTGTCATGATTTTTTCAATGCAACTCGCTTAGCAGGACCCTCCTAGTTTCCTTAAAGCCCAGTTTATTTGAGAGCAGCTTTGGGCGGACACTGTAGACAGCCAGTGGCCAATCAAAAGGGCTCGTTCCTCCCCTGGCCAATAGCAGGCGCCACATTGTTGTCAAATGTTGTCTAATGGCAACGTAAGGAGCAACAATAGAGCAAGTGATCGCGGGCGCCTCGGCGAAGATCCCTATCTCCTGGCAACTCTCGCCCTGCAAGTGTCACACATGCGAACTTGAGCTGAGTGCGGGGGGACCGGAGTGGGGCTGGGCGCTGGAGCTCCGGGCGGCGGGCTTTCCCCGGGGGGCAGGAGGGGAGATGATTAGAGAGGGAGGGTGAGGCTCTTTCGCTGCGTGCCAGGGAAAGTTTGAAGTTGCAGCTGCCCGAGTCCTGGGAGCGCTAGGGCTCGGGGGTTGGCGGGTTGTGTTTTCTGCTGTGTATTTGATTTAGGCGGCTCTGCTGAGTGAGTGGTGCAGTTATCCTGCGCGGTCGCTGGGGAAAATCACGTTCAAGGGGCAGAGGTAACTTGGGTGGTGGTTGTTGGGTTTTTTTGTTTTGTTTTGTTTTGTTTTTGCAGAGGACTTTTCAGTTCGTGACAGGGTTGGTTTCTCTGCGATCCTTGACCCCGTTGGCGTTGTTGGCAGGGGGGCAGGAGGCGTTGGTCTGCCTGACTCAGGTCCCGGTGGCTGGTAATGGTGGTTGCTGTTTTAAAAGGTGTCAGTGGATCACTGCAGGGGGAAACGTGATTGGTAACACTTTTTTTTTGAAATAAACTAAAATTAAAGGGACTCGGGTTTGACCTGGCGGCAGAGAATCGGACCAGTGTGAGCAAGGGAACTCTCTCGAGCCTGGCGTCTTGCGCGCTCTGACATGGGCTTGGCAGCGCCCTGCCAGAGATGCACGGACAATAACGGAGCCAAGGGGTTTTAACTCTCTCCGCAGCGAGAAGCCGGTTTCTCCAAGGCCTGCAGTTTGCTCTTGAGGGACTGGACCAGAGAAAGGCGGGGGGCGGGTTCGTTTGAGCGGCATTTCACCCCCTGACAGGGCTGGGGCGCGAGGGGGACCTAACAGATACCCGCTTTTGCTCGAGATCCGGGTGTTTATCGTGCCGGCGTCTAGGCAGGTATTACAAGGATCCCGGTGTTTGTAGTGCCCGCCCCTGGGGGTTTACTGGCGAGATCCGGGGGTTCGTAGCGCCCAGGTCTTGGTGGGTATTGAAGGGAGTCCCTCGGAGGGGCCACTGCTTTGGGGCAGCTTTGCTCGTTTCTGGGTTCTTCCCGCGGCCAGGATGGAGCTGAGATCGGAAATGCCCAGCGTCCCCTCGGCGCCCGCTTCGGTGCCCCCCAGCTCGGTGGCGGCGGCTGCCGCGGCCGCGGCCGCAAGCTTGCCGGTGAGCGTGGCCGGCAGCCTCCTGCGGGGCCCCCCGCTGCTGCTGCGGGCGGCCGAGAAGTACCCGCGCACGCCCAAGTGCGCCCGGTGCCGGAACCACGGGGTGGTGTCGGCGCTGAAGGGCCACAAGCGCTACTGCCGCTGGAAGGACTGCATGTGCGCCAAGTGCACCCTGATCGCCGAGCGCCAGCGCGTCATGGCCGCGCAGGTGGCGCTGCGCCGCCAGCAGGCGCAGGAGGAGAACGAGGCCCGCGAGCTCCAGCTACTCTACGGCACCGCCGAGGGCCTGGCCCTGGCCGCGGCCAACGGCATCATCCCGCCCCGGCCAGCCTACGAGGTCTTCGGCTCCGTCTGCAGCGGGGCCAGCGGCGAGGGAGGCGCTGGGGGCTCGGGTAAGGGAGCGACCCCCTCCAGGACAGGCTGCTGCAGGGACTAGCTAGCTATCTACCCCCTTACACACCATCCATCCCCGTACACCCCATACCCCCCATCTATCTGGCTATCCCCATAGCCCCCCATCTATCTGGCTATCCCCATACCCCCCCATCTATCTGGCTACCCCCATACCCCCCCATCTATCTGGCTATCCCCATACCCCCCTCCCAACTATCCATCATCCATCCCCACAAACACCATGTATCTGTCTATCTATCTACATACATCCCATCTGTCTACCCCCATACACCCCCTCTATGTATCATCATCCATCCCCATACACACCATCGAATCTATTTCCATCCACCCCATCCAATTATATACCCCAACTATCTGTCTATCCATCTACATACATCCCATCTGTCTATCCCTCCCTATACTGTACTATCTATCGCTCCCTCTCCATACACCCCATCTGCAGATCCCCATACACCCCCTCTATCCCTACCTCTCCATACACATCTATCCATCCAACCAACCATCCCTATAGCAATCTACCCCTCCTCACAGGCCCCATCTGTCTATCTATCCCTCCACACACCCTCTATCCATCTATCCCTATACATATCCATCCATCCATCCATCCCATACACCTATTTATCCATCCATCCTTCCTGGCCTAACCATGTCACCCTCTCTGATTTATACGGATGGGGGAGGGGCAGCTGATGGAAAACCCACACTAGGTGATTGAGTGATTGATTTCAATCTTGAGTCCAAGGCCAGCGAGGGCATCTCCTTGCTTAAGGCTTGGGGGCTGGAAGGAAAGTTGTCCTCTGGGGAGGGACTGAATCCAAGCCAGAGACCAGGCTGCAGCCTCGCAGGGCAGGAGCTGGGTCCCCACTCTCTGTGTCCTGAGACACAAAACTGTGTCAAGGAATGAATAAATACTAAGTGCCTCCAAGTATCTCCGGTGGCAGAAATCCAAGGGGCTGAGGATGGGTGGGAAGGGGTCTGGGGACCCAACCTGGAGCTGCTGGGGCCCTCTTGTCTCTATGGCCAGAGCTGTATCTGCGTTTGTTCCAGGCCTTTTCTCCCTAGGCCCAAGAGGCTCCCCGCGGGCCGCTGCTCTGTGGGGCTGCAGGGCCAGGCGGCGCCGGGCCGGTCCCGGCCGCTGCACTCACTGGGCTCCTTGCTTTCCCTTGCAGACTCCAAGCTGCAGAAGTTCGACCTGTTCCCCAAGACGCTGCTGCCCAGCCGGGCTGTGACCCCGCAGCAGGCGGGCGGGAAGCCCCTGTCTCCGGATGGGGAGTCGGTGCCGGGCACCTCCTCCCCAGAAGCTCGCCACGGCTCGGGCTCGGAGAACGGGGACGGCGAGTCCCTCCTCAGCTCGCCCGTCTCCAAAGGGCCGAAGGAGGGCGAGGAGAGCCCGGGCTCCATCAGCCCGCTGGGCTCCGACTCGGGCTCGGAGGCCGAGAAGGACGAGCAGGACCCGTCGCCCTCGGCCGGCGGCCGCCAGCGGACTCCCATCGACATCCTGACGCGGGTCTTCCCGGCGCACCGGCGCAGCGTGCTGGAGCTGGTGCTGCAGGGCTGCGGCGGGGACGTGGTGCAGGCCATCGAGCAGATCCTCAACAACCGCGGCCCGGACAAGGGGCCCGAGGAGAGCTGGGCCCGGGACGGCGCCCTGCAGCCCAGCCCGGCCGCCGCCGCCGCCCACCACCGGCCCTTGATCGCCGGCGCCATGAGCCCGGCCATCGGCACGCTGGGCAGCCGCTCCGCCTTCTCGCCCCTGCAGCCCAACGCCAGCCACTTCGGCGCCGAGGCCAGCGCCTACCCGCTGGGCACCCACCTGGGCCTCAACCCCCTGCGCCTGGCCTACTCGGCGCACAGCCGGGGACTGGCCTTCATGGCCCCCTACTCCACCGCCGGCCTCATGCCCACGCTGGGCTTCCGGCCGCCCATGGACTACGCCTTCAGCGACCTCATGCGGGACCGCTCCGCCGTGCACAAGGAGCAGGTCTACTCCAGCGGCCTCTACGGGCCCATGGTCAACAACACCCCCGAGAAGCAATAGACTCAGCCCCCTGCGGCGGGGGCAGCGCCCGGCCGGCCGCGGGCACCGCGCTGACGCCAAGGACTCGCTCCCTCCTTGCGTCTCTTGACAGCTGCCAAATCACAGCTCACGCCTTGCACCCTAAGGGCCTCTCTGAAGATATCAATATAGAGCGAGAGAAAGAGAGGGGACTATGTGGACACCGATTGATTCGCTTCCTTTCGCCTTCCAGCCCATTCCATGGTAGGGCAGGGCGCAGACCCCCGCTGCACGGAACAGAGTGTGGGGCAAAGCTGACAAATAATAGGTGTATTAAAAAAAAACAGGTTATAAAGGTGCACTTTCATTGTTGAGATGTTTGTCACGCTCTTTGTTGCTTATGGCCATAAGCATGGATATCCTTGGTGAATTGTGAGGTATATATATATAATATATATATATATATATATGTATACTAGCAAGTGTATAATGTTATAAAATGGAAATCTAAGTTATTAATGTAACTTGTAGGTGAACTTGGTATTAAAGCTAAAGGTTAGACAGCTCTCATTGTAATACTTACCAGGTATATAGATTAAATATATTGTAAAATTGAAAAGCCTTCCCGCCCGCCCCTTCCAGGAAATGTTATAATCTGTATATAACATTGTAAAGTAGATATATTTGTAACTGTCCGTAGGACCCAGCCGCCAATGCTGTATAACGGTTTAATGAGCCTCTTCATTTGTGATCCGCAAGAAAATTTCTTTCTGGTTCCAATGTAGCAAACTTCTTGCCGTTTCTAACCATTACTTTCTGTTTCCATTTCATAGAAATACTAGAAATAAATGTTATTTTCTATTAAAAATCAGTCTTACAAATGGCCAATGATATTTTATGGAACAATGTTTTGGCAAACAAGTAAAGTCAATATTTAAGGCAGATTAATGCAAATAATTTAGGAACTTTCTGAACATGTTTGTTAAATTTTATGTCATGGTTGAAGCAGACAATCTGATGAGCATCTATACATTTAAAAACACACACACACACACACACAAACAACAACCCGCAGCATACAGAGATTTACTTGTCCATCAAAATGTCAAATCATTGTATTTCTAATTCTTCATTTTTTATTTGTTTAGGAAAAAATTTCTCAAGTGCATTTTTAGGGGATTTTCCAGTTTGGAGCTTGCTGATTTCTTCCCCGTATCTAGACAATCTGACATTATCCCAGGGAAAGGCAAAGAGTGTTGTTAAAATAATTGTGTTCGTTGTTGCTGGATCATCCTGCGACTGCAGCGATGAAAGGGAAACCATTTCTTTTTATTTGATGATTGCACTGCAGATTTCGATTGCTTCTATATGATCAAGATAAGAAACGGCAAATAATAAATATTATTAAGGACAGGTTGTTTAAATAGCAAAACTCTGTTCCGGAATCAAATCGGGCAGAACGAAATCAGCTTGTGGAGTTTAAAAAAGCAGTCCTCTAATTAATTTCATATCGGGGCCGATCCTGATGTCCTAAAACGCCCATTAATTTCAGGAGGAAGGGTACACGAACGGCACTATTTATCAATCGCATTGGCAACAGAGCGTCCGATTATTCTTCAAGGAAAGTAGAGGAAATATGCGATTTTTCTTCTTTCACTGAATATAAGAACGAGCGCAGCAATAGCTTCGGACAATGCCCCCACCCTCCCAAAAAAAAAAAAAAAAAGAAGTGATTGGGGAGGGCGGAGGGAATTTTCTTATCTGTCCTGGGAGCGTTTGGCCCAGGAAAACTATTACTCACAAAGAACAAGTTCAGTGCATGGTTGAATTAAGACTGTAAAAGCTCCTAAAGTTGGTTGGTATGGAAACCTAATCCCACCAAACTGTTCTGTGGCACAGCTGGACTGTTTACTTTCTCACTTCAAATATAACTGTGTAAACATTGGCTTGAAACTGACAGTGCTGTTCCTCTAAACCAGTTAATATATTGGTGTGTATGAGACGAAAATGTGTGTCTTCATGGTTACTGAAAGAAGCCCAGGGGTAAAATCAAAGAACCAGAGCGAGTAACGTGAGATCCTTCTTTGCCTTTCACAATTGATCAGGTTGGCTACAATTTTAAGATTGTTCTTTTGGGGAGTAAATATTACAGATTACACCTAGGTAAATACTGTTGACCCTGCTCCAACCTGAGAGCAGCCAAATCAATATCACAAGGGAAACTTTTAAAAGTCTCATGTTCCAAGAGTGGGTGAAACTTAATATTACTACAATAAAACGGTTTAATAAAGAAGGGCTTTAATAGTGAGCTAATTTGATTGAGTTTCCTAATTCCACTTTAATTGGAAAAGGAGTTGTCTATTTGGTTATAAAGTGCCAGGGTTATTGTAGACTGGGGAAAAAAGATGGACTTTGAGCATCTGAATAAACTTTTTTTTGGCAGCTGACTTTGCCCAGGATGAGTTTCCATATCTGGGATTATGAATGGGCTACAAAGAGCTGCTATTTAAAGAAATCAGGTTGCCACATTTCTCCCTTTCTAGCCTTGTTGAGAGGAGCTTAGGAGCTGTTGGTTTAACTCAGCTTCCTTTTTAATTATAAAAGCCATTCTTGTGTAGTTAGCCGAGTCGGACAATTTATCAGAATTGTTGCTGTTTCTTGGAGGTTTGCTTGAGCCTGGGTTTATACAGCCCAGAATGGGGATCGTGATATTTAACTTTCATATGGATAGTTTAGGCTGTGGCTGCTAACATAAAAAAAAAAAAAAAAAAGCTGACACATTGTCCCCATTGAAGTAATTCCCGGCCTGGACAAAAAAATAACCCCCCAACAGTTGAGAATGCAGCTGCCGCACACAGGTTCCTCTCTGGAAGCCTGGGGAAGGCGTGAAATAGTCAGCTCCCCTTTCGAATGAAATTAAATACTTTGCTCCTGAATAAAAATTCGCGGAGCAGACTATAAATGATTTGCGAGGCAGAGAGAGACTGGAAGCGAGCGCTTGCAAACTTCCCTGTTAATTAAACCTGAATCCGCCGGTTCCAGGAAGCGGTGGGGCTGGAACAGAGGCTGCTGTACATACAGTGGGACAAGTCCCGCCGTTATATTAACTACACTAGTGTTTAATATGAATCAGCCCTAATCCGCAGCATAATAAAGATCAAATTAGACTAACCATTTAGTAGCGAAATGACATTCCTTCACCTAGGCGGAACCCAAGGCGCAGCCGAAGGAGGGAGGCTGAAACCTGCTCTCCAGTCGCCGGCAGCTGGGTGGGACTGTGTCCGGGCTGGGGGAAGGGGGAGTCACGGGAAATCAGCCCTTTGTAACACTCCTTTTAAATACGGGCTTGGGGAATGGTAGCAGGACCGGGAGAAGGGGCAGTTAGAAACTCCCGTATTAAATCTCCCCCCCCCCCAGTTCTCCACCCTCTGCCCAATTTGCCGCCTAACCCGGGCGGGCGCGCGGCATGAAACCGTGCCGCGGGGGGCCCAGTGGCTGCCGACGCGGGCAGCGATCCTGCGCTAGAGCTGGGCGCATGGCAGGCCGGGCGCCCGGCCACAAGTGCTTGTTCAGCGGCAGGCGGTATGTAAACCCAGGGTGGGGTGTTTCCCCTCCAGGCATGGGCCAGCGCGCTCCGCCATGCCCAGCACGCATTCAGAGGGAAGCCGAGCCTTGGCCGCGCGGAGCTTTCCGCTGCAGGGGCGCCTGTCGGAGCCTGCGGGGTATTTTCAGTCAGCTGCGAGGCGCCGCTGACCTAAAGTAACCGCAGAAGTTACAGGGGGGAAAGTGCCAGAAGACCTTCCGAGGGGGCACAACAACAATCCCTCTTGCTGGAGAAACTTGGTGCAAACTTTGCGCCGTGCCGCGTGTGCTGGGGGCGCAAGAAGCGAGGAGAGCGCGCGCGCGCTGGCCCTGCCTGGAAAGGGGGATTCATTCATTTTAATGGTGACAAAATAATTCCTCCTGTTGGAAGGAGCCAGGCAACTCGTGGGCTCTGAAATCCTCCGGGTAGCCAAGCCAGGGCAGCAGCAGCCCCAATTTCCCTTCTTCTAGGCGTGAGAAAGGACTTGCGAGTTACGCCGTTTGCCTTGTTTGCTGGCAGTTAAAGCAAGTCGCTCGTAACCCTCTCTCCATAACCCAACCCTGCTACCTTTCCCCACCCAGCAGGATCTGGCGCCTCGGGAAACCGCACTCACTAGCTTTGGTTATTGCACACGTGGAGTGCATAATTCCTGAGCACGTTACAGGCCGCGCAGCACAGTTCGCTTATCCCTGCTGAGGGGATGACTTCTGTGCAGCGCAGATATGGTATGCATGCGGCGGGATCCTACTGTAATACCTGTCAGGAGTAGCAGGGCAAATATTTGTCATGATTTTATGCCTAGTGTGCTTGACATGCAGACCGCCGGGAAGCCCAGCATTGTCTTAAACGAGAGGGGGAAAACTGGTGTCGATTATCAGTCACTTTCACAGATTTTAGCCTCCCAGCGCCGGGAAATCCAGCAGCTGGTCCCAGGATTTACAGTGTGTGACGAAAGCATTGATCTTAGGCATCCGGAGAGCAAGTCACTTTCACACATGCCGCCTGAGGTGGCCCAATACATGTAAAGTGTGTCAGACCCCCCACCGCGTGGTGATTTTCTGATATTTTGGCCTGTAAAACTATCCCCACTGTATTCTGTGGGGGCAACACTTACCCACAGCGAAACCTCAGACACTCGAGGCTTATAACACTGAGCAGTATTTGAGTAAATACAGCTGCCTCGCAGTTCGATGTGGATGTCAGTGCTGTGAATTTGGTGAAAACAATCATTGCAGACAGGAGCCTTTCTCCTCTTCTTCTATTCCCTCACCAAAGTCTATGAGCGCAGGTGTCTTCCTTTCCGGGTTTTTCTTTCACAGTGTGGTGGATCACAATTGACTAGCAAGATTTTCTCATGGACATCTCCCTTGCCAGACACAAGCCAGGCAGAAGTTTCCCTTCCTACACCTGATCATGCGGATCCCTCCCCCATTCCTAAACAGGAGGACACCTGCTTCGTTTGTGATCCGGTAACTCGCCAATGGCGACCACAGCAAATGCTTATATGCAAAAATAATATGAGGAAAGTATTTAACATATTTTAATGTGGAAAAAAGGCAGAGCCCGCACGTTGTGACTGGTCAGCTCAGGAACCATCAGCAAAGGCTCCGTTGGCCACTGTTCGTGAGCTACTGCGAGGGAGAAATGCTTGTGAAATCACCATCGTTCATGCCATGTGAACTCACGATTTCCAGCATTTGGCTGAGTTTCAGCACACCCAAAAGACTGGCTGCGTTAGATTGCTACAGAAGTAAGGAACCCGTTAATGGAGTCACATCAGAGATGAACCTGGAGCGAAGTGCCCTTGGATTGAATAGTCATTAGAGCGCCTCGACATTTTTCATTCTAAACTTTTAACAATGAAAATCAGTGAAAACATTCGATATTTCAAAATTTTCTGATTTTTTTTTGACACAAAGTTTAAAGCTCGTTTTGGGGGGTTTTGAAACTGTAAAATTAATTTTGTTTTCGTTTTTCTTCTCTTTTTCTTCCTTTCTACCTGTTTTTTGGAAAAGCGTAGTAGTGGCAAGGGGGGAAACGGAGAGAAAGGGGAACAAACGAAAACTGAAACCTGACAATGTTCAGTTTTGATTTCTATTTTTTCACTTAAACATTGGGAAAAGTCCGACTTTTTTAAAGAAAAATTGTGAACATTAATTGTTTAAAGTTATTTTTATGCAACATCATTTTCAGCCCGGTCCAATATTGGTAGTCCCCATGTTCCTAAGGCGGGGAAGGATACATACAAAGAATTCCCCTACCAGAAGATGACCGGTGAGTTTCTGAGG